AATTTAAAAAAAAAAAAAAAAAAAAAAAAAAAAAAAAAAAAAAAAAAAAAAAAAAAAAAAAAAACTCAAAGGGCCGAAACGTGCGTGCGTTTTGGTTGACAATACTGTTCATTGAACAGTAATGGATCATCCCTAAACTACCAAATAATTAGTAAATAAACAATAAAAAAAAAAGAATAGTGAGAAACAAATGAAGTAAAAGTTGGGATGAGAGAGCAAAGGTTCCATGGTGTAGTGGTTAGCACTATGGACTTTGAATCCAGCGAACTGGGTTCGACTCTCGGTGGGACCTGTTTGGGGCCTAATTAGTAATTATTTTTATTTTTTTATTATTTTCTTTGTTATTAACTTATTATTATTTGGAGAATGAACATTTTTTGATTTTTTGATTTTTTGTCGGTTAAATTTAAATAAAATTAAACAAAAGTTAAAAAATACGTAAATTTAAAAAATAAAAAACTTTTAATGTGTCGATACTAGCGTAACCGATAACCTCCCTTGTTATTTTCATTTTTAGCTTTTTTGAACGAAAACCGAATCCAAAAAACCGACCAGAACCACTTATGATGGAAAAACGGACAAACAAAAATCGAAATATTAGGGAAAAAAAGACTGCCATGCGAATATCTAGGAACATACTCTGCTTCTTCCTTATTCTGTTCACATTTCACACACAAACAGAATAACCAAGCCACGCTAAAACATAACAAAATGGCACAAACTTTCAACACAAAATGCCCATATGAATCAAGGGAAAAAAAAAACACCAATTGCCAGTTTTAACCCACAATTGTGGTCAAAACATTGCAACAAGATAAAAAAAGAACCCAAAAAAAAGTTGGTCCCATGTAGCTGTAACGCTATTGGTGCGTTTTTACCCTCCAAAGTGCGTGTGAAAAGAAAGCAATTTTTCTTCGCCAAAAAAAAAAATAATAATACAAAAAGAAAACGAGAATAGGGAACTATGGAATATACTATCTAATAAATTGCCATAATAAAACAATCATTATAAAAATAAAATAAAAAACAGAAGAATTCAAAAATTCACAATGTGTTAAATATAGAGAAATACAAGGGCACTAGTGCAAATACTAATGGAATATAAGACACGCAACATCAACTATGACTTGAGTGTGTGTCTAATCTAATCCACCGCGCAAAATTAGCAGAGCAAAAATAAATTAAAAAATTCAAAGGAAAAAGTTGGAAAAAAAAAAAAAAGAAATGAGACAAGAAAAGAAAAAAAAAAAAAGCAGACAAGGACTGAAGCTAGTGGGGGTGGTTTCGCAGGTACTGAGGCAATTCAGTACTGTTTTTCCAGACGAGAAAAGGGAACAATTTTCTCGGCAACCAAACAACACAATAAAGCTAAATTTCCACAGAGAAATCAGGAAGAGAAGAGCAATGCTGACCTGAACCCCAGGGGAATCGAAGTTCAAGACGCGGATCTTGGCGCCAACGTCTCCGAGAACCCTAAGCTCGACCCTATCGTTGAGCGAAGCATCTCTGATCAAATCAGCAGCGTCCGCTTGTAGAAGATTGACCCGATCGACGGCGATCGTGGCCACAACCTGCCTCACACTGTGGGCCTCCTGATAAAACCCCGGCACCGAAGCTTTCCCCAACGGAATCCCTCGGTACATGACAGAAAACCTGGACTCGCCGTACTTGATCCCCACCTTGTTAGGGTTAACCGCCGTGAAGAGCATCCGAATGTTGAGCGAAAGAGAGGCGGTTGTGGTCGGATTCGGGTTAGGGTCGGTGGTTGTGGTCATTGCGGAGGTGGGATTGGGTGCGGTGATGCCCATGTACTGTACGCCGACTTGTTGGAGATCGAACTGGGGCTTTTTGGGTTTAACGGCGAGGATTATGACGAGGACGATGGCGAGGACTAAGAGGGCGAGGAAGGAGAAGAGAAGGAAGAGGCAACAGCAGCAGCCACGGAAGGAGGCGGAGGACGAAGACGACGTCGTTGGGTAGTAGTGCTGGTAGTTGTTGTTTGACGGTTGAGACGGTGGCGGTCGGGATGGTGGCGGTCGGGACGGTGGCGGTCGGGTTTTCTGCTCTCGAGAGGTCATTTTCGTCTTTTTATTTTTCTTTCTTCTGGCCTCTTCTCTCTTCTTCTCTCTTCTTCTCTCTCTGTTTCCTCCTCTTCTGATTAACAGTGCTTTGCTTGGTGTTGAAGGAATTCGGATGAAGGGAAATGGGAAATGTAGAGAGAGAGAGAGAGAGAGAGAGGGAAATGGGAAATGTAGAGAGAGAGAGAGAAGAGAGAGAGAGAGGTTCGGCGACAGAGGTGTCAGAGAGAGAGAGAGAGAGAGAAGGAAAGTGGAGTGGACAGGCAAAGGGGAATATAAGGAGATTTTAGTGAAAAGGAAAAAGAAATGTATATGCTGAAAGAAAAAAAAAAAAAAAGCTATGTGTGCGTGTACAGCGTAATTGTATGTACACTCTGGTCACAATCGCCTTATAGTTGGAGACTGTACCTCCAGGATTGTGCCACGTGTTATTATTGTGGAAAAAGAAGGGTTGGATTTTATTTGTGTTTTTTATTTTATTTTATTTTTATTTTACAACATTACGATCGAGGGTTTAAAATTTTTATGCGGAGCTTCTCCGATACGTTAATATATCGGTAAGTCATGTTTTCTTTTTGTCAGATTTATATAAAATCACGTAAAAATTAAAAAATATGTAGATTTAACAGTTAAAAAAATTTAACCTATCAGTATACTAGGCGTACAAGAGAATCTTCCATTTTTATTTTATTTTGAATAAACATATGATTTATCAACTACATTCTTAGGGTGCGTTTATCAAACCTTAAAGGAATGTAATAAGAAAGATAATGAGATTGAAAAAAGAAAGTTAAGTAATATAGTTAAACATCATTGATTTTCTTTTAAGTGTTTATTTAACTATTAAATGGTAATGAGAAACAATCTCATTCTCTTTTAGTGTTCACTAAAATTAAAAATAACAATTAATCAATATTTTTTTTTTTAGTCATTTTACATAATTAAATAATAATTGATTACATAGTAATTCTTTAAGGGCATATAAGTAAATTAGGATTTCATTCATTTTGATAAAGAATCAATATGAAGATGATGTAAAGATTAACATTTCATTTTTCTCATTTTTTATATTGTATGGGGTCACTACATCTCTATTACTTATTTAGTAAGTAAAACACATTATTAAAATAGACAAAATCATTACTTTCCGATATGTTGTATCTTCTGTACCGTAATTCAATTAGGTGTAAGTAAACACATTATTAAAAGAGGCAAATTAAACATGCCTTTAATTCTTAAACTTTAAACCGTACATGTTGTATCTTCTGTATAATATTTTTTCATATGCAGTCCATAAATTTTAAAATGTGCTATGGGATGGAATAAAACACACCTGAAGTTCAAAAATTCATCAATTTTGTAACTCTTACACCTAATTGAATTAGAGTATATTCTTGACATTATTTTTTTTCCCTTCTCTTGTTTCTAAACAACTACATTCAACTAATTTATTTGTGGCGAGAACATATGTTAACCCTCAAATATAATAACTTAACTTTCAAAGTTTAAGAGCTGAATTTGAAGATGTAATATAAATAAGGAGACACGATATTTATGTTTAAATATTTAAAGACCATATTTATAAAGGTGACCTAATTCAGATGAAACGAGCATGAATTCTGTGCGTTGTTGTGGTATATAATATTGTATCACATAAAAGATTTTACGGTATTGCTGCGGTATATAATGTTGTATTACATAAAAGATTTTATATTATTACAAACATATTAACAAGTATATACACATGCAATATTAGAAGCCAAAATATATTTATATGTACATATAGATATATGTACATTATAAAACAGTAACGCATATCGGATCCATCATACTGTCTTCTTTAACTGCAAGATAGGAATGTTAAGAAATGAAAAAAATAAAAAATAAATGTATACAAATAATAAAAAATTGTAGGAAATGAAAAAATAAATGTATACAAAATTACAAATAATAAAAAAAATTAACTCAAAATTAAATACGTATTACTTTTTTAAAAATGAAGTCAAAGAGAAAAGAAAACTCAAATATTCGGAGAAAAACAAAACGAATGAACAAAAAATGAAACAACATAACCAAGAAAGAAACAATGTAATTACAGAAGAAAATAGGAATCAAATCAGTAGAGAATGGAAGAGGGAACACAGAAAGCAAGAGACTAATATAGATACTAAAACAATATAAACCGACCTCATTAATACATAAGAAAACTGAAGATAACATATCCAACAAAAATAATAATAAGAAATCAGAAATAAAAAATGAGGGAAAAATTTTTACACAAAGTAGAAAAAAATTTAGGAACGAAAATTCTTAAAAAAAGATTAAAGGAAAACCCCAAAGAAAAGAAGCCCTCTTAAAATAAAATATTTCAAAAAAAGAAAACCTAAATCAAGGAAAAAAAATTTAGGAAATGAAAAAATAAATGTATACAAATAATAAAAAAAAATTAACTCAATTAAATACGTAATATTTTTTAAAAAAAATGAAGTCAAAGAAGAAAAAAACTCAAATATTCGGTGAAGGAAAAAAAATCAACGAATAGAAAATGAAACAACATATTTAAGAAAGAAACAATATCATTACAGAAGAAAATAAGAACTAAATCAGTAAATGATGAAAGAGGAAACACAGAAAGCAAGAGCTTTCAAAAGAAAGAGGATAAAACTTTAGGCGATGGAAACGAAAAAAAGAAGCAATAAAACACAACATTTTTCTAATATAGATCTAACCATATTTGTAAAGGGAAAATATTTTTTTTTTAAAAATATTTCTGCTACAAATAGACGTCAATACCAGCGAAAAACATGCGTGGTAAACAAACATGGAAGGACCAGAGAATAAACCATCAGCACCCAAAAAGACAAAAGAAAAAAAGGAAACAAACAGAAGACTCGGTGAAAAAACAAATGGGCTCGCAAAAAAACGTTCGCTTAAGAGCAAAAGAAAGAAGAAGAAAATTTTTTTTTTTTTAAAAGAGAAAAAAATCATATTTGTGCACATAAGATAGAGCAGAAATAGAGGAAAATAATGAAAGAAGAAACACATAAAGAAGGAGCTTTCAGAAGAAAGAGGATAAAACTCTAGGCGATGGAAAAGAATAAGAGAAGCAACATAATACAATCTTCCTAATACAGATCTAACCTTATTTGTAAAGGGGAAAGTCTCACTTGTCCCCCAGCACATAAATTTTTTTCCTAAAAAAAAAAATTCCGCAAGAAATAGACGAAAATGCCAGCTAAAAACATGTGCGGTAAACAAACACCAAAGGGCAAAACGGTAAATATACATTGAGGAGGTTAAAAAAGAACTTCACTATTCATAATACTATACAGTGAATAGTAACACCGCAGACTCTCCTTTAGTATATGTATAATTTACAAAATTTTATCCTTATATATATATATATATATATATATTAGCTTTTTAACATGTTCCACACAACTGTGTTAGAGGCACATGAGGAGTTTTTTTTATTACCAAATAATGAGAAATTCATCTATATAATTATTTAAGGATTTTTGAATTCATTTTAAAGGGTTTTTGGCACAATTGCTCCCTAAACTTGTTGTGGTTTAGCACATTACCCCCTACAAATTTAAGGGATTAAAAGTTGAGATATTGAAAGATGTCTGTTACATTTGAATAGCGCTGCAAGTTTGGGCCAGACAAAATGAACCGGCCCGAGGCTCGCTACTGTTGACCATGGCTCGGCTCAACCCTAAATTTTTTGAGCTTAAGGCTAGGTTGGGCCGACCTTCTCTTCTTTAGGGCCAGGCCGGCCCAAACATATTTTTGAAGTTTTTTTAAATACCTTATAAAATTCCTAGTCGGGTCGGGCCGCCCTGAAATTTCTCTTCGAGCCGTCGAGTTCGGGCCGGGCAGCCCAAACTTACACCTCTACATTTGAATTGGAATGTTGGAATTTTTGGCTTAATGTGCTTTTTTACGTTAATTTAACACAATCGTCATCAAAATGTTGCATATTGCAATAACTTTACAAGTTGAGGGGGCAACTTGTCAAAATTAAAAGTTTGGGGAGAATTTGCTAAATTATGACAAGTTTAAGGGGCAAATGTGCTAAAAACCTATTTTAAAAAGGAATAGGTGTAAAACAAACTTTGAGATGATGGGAATTACATGCAAAACAATTAAGTAGAAACACATTTGAAGAAAATTATTTTAACCATTGATAAAAAATAAGATAAGAAAACATGCAAAAAAAAAATTTACTTTAATAAGAGTATAGTGAGAAAAATATATTTTTAAAAAACAAAAAAATGTAAAAAAACATTTTACAAAAAATTTTAAAAATGAAAAATAAAGACAAAAAAGTAAAAAAGAGAAAAAAAAAAGGTAAGAGGAATGTTTGCCGCATGAAAGCCCCATAAAAAAAAAAAAGAGTTCTGGTGTTTTCATGTTTATTAGATTAAATTTGTTAAATTGTATTAGGGAGAATTTAGTAAATAACAAATTTATGAAATTAAATTAAGTAAATAACAGGTTTTAAAACTATTTGAAATAATTAACATTTTACATGGTAAATATATTATTTATTGCGTAAATGGTTCATTTACAGTTAGTAAAAATATTTTTTCATTATTTACTTAATTTAGTTTTAAAAAATATGCTATTTACTACAATTTTCCGTATATTAGAGGTGAAAGTTTGAGTTTCCCAGAGCCCGGACCAACTCGTTATTTTCACCGTCCGGCCTAACCCTAACGGGAAGAGAGTTGGCTCAACCCTGCCCCTAAATCCCGACGAGGCCATTAACTTAAATATTTAAACCTAAATATCTTGTCCCCTTATATATTTACAACATTATTAGAGCTAGAACATCATATAAGAAAAATAAACTAAGGTCTCGTTCATTTCACCCATTCAAATTTTTAATTTTAAGTTTCTACAGGAAAAAACTCTCATAAAATGTCACATCTAACTTTTTCTACTACAGTGAAAAATTCTCAGAAAATGTCACATCTCAATTCAAATTGAAAACTCGAATCCGTGAAGTGAACGATGCTTAAAAGTATTGTCAAACCCCTCATCAAGACTTCCCTACCCAACATGCTGCAGCTAAAAAATCATGTAAGAGAATATATATATATATATATATATATATAATTTATATCTCAAACAATAAATGCAAAAGTGACAAAAAAAAGTGAAGAAAGAGTAATACAAACATTTCTCACACAAACATTTCCATCAAAGCACATGTAATTTTTAAGCAAAATACAATCACCGTGACCGTTCATTTCGCTGATTCGAGTTTGTAATTCGAGTTGAGATGTGATTTTATGTGAGCTTTTTACTGTAGCAAAAAAAATAGATGTGACTGTTTCTGAGAGCTTTTTACTGTAACAAAACTCGAATTCTAAACTCGAATCAGCGAAATAAATGGGACAAAAAAAAAGAAATATCTAAAGAAACGTCCAAATAGCGGCTTAATCACTAATTTCTTTTCTATCACGTCCCCAAACAAGGAAAGGCAAAAAAAAAAAAAAAGTTTCTTTTCCTTTTTTTTTTTTTTTTTTTTTTTTTTTTTTTTTTTTTTTAAAAAAAAAAAAAACTTTAAATTGAAAAGGAAAAGGAACTTTCTACCGATAACTTTTTTTTTTTTTAAAAAAAAAAAAAAAAAGGAAAAAAAACTTTTTTTTTTTTTTAAAAATAAGAAAAGCTTTAAATTGAAAAGGAAATCAATACAAAGGAAGAGGACAAGGAGTCCTCGCAACAAAGAGCGAAAAACAACAAAAACTACAACTCAAAGATCAATGATCAAGAACATCTCCCCAATTTAAAATAATTAACGTGAAAGGAAAGCCTTTAAATTCTTTATCCGAAGCTGCCCAAAGTGAAGCTGAAAATTTGGCCTTATCAAACAACAACTCACTACGAAGTTCTAAATAAAATGAAAAACACAGATAAATATAATAAATAAAATATGCCCATACAAACTGCACAAAGTCAACCTATAAAACAACTATTCTCTTTCCTACATAAGCAAAATGAGCCAAGAGATCTCAAATGAGAAAAACGCCATCCTAAATCAAACCCAACAAGAGAAAAGGTGGGTAAATATTGAAACAATGAGGAAAAACTGCCTACCAGGAAGGCATGCATGAGCTGCAGACATACCAAAAATTCTAACCAGACTCGCTTTTATAACAGATGCCATATGAAGGCTTCGACCCCACTAGTCAGTTTTCTCAGCATTTGGGCTGGCATTATCGGCCATATCTGCCCTAGTTGTCTCGTCGTCCCTCCTACTGTTATCATCAACATCAAGAACATCATCCATCATGTCATCCTCCCCTACATTGATATCCTCGACATCATCTTCCTCTTCGTTGTTGCTTCCGCTCGGAATCTTCGTTCTCTTGGGGCCATGCTCAAGCCTATGGGTGTCTAATTCCTTGTCCATAGTTTCCTGCAAGTTTGACATGTCATTATTTGCTTTCCTATTCCTTGCATTTTGCCATCTCTCCAAGTCCTTCTCCACATTAGCAAGATATTGTTCCTCAATCTGCTTCTGATACTCCGTCAGTTCCTCTCTCCTGGCAGCCTTCCATTCTTCAAACGCCTGATGTAAATTTCAATGAAAAATAAATCAACAAATAAATCCTAAATGTACGAAGAAAAATTGCAGATCAAGATCACAACTACAGAATTAACCTTGCAACTTTGGATCACGGAATGTTTTTAACAAATTGAGGATTACACAGCTTTGCAGGTAAATTTCATTAGGCTCATTTAGAAATTATATGCAGCTACTGCAACTTATGAAAAGTTGACCCTCTAAAAAATTGCCTATTTCCCAGAATGTCACAACAATTGACCCAATACTTAACGGAAAGTGTGGGTAAACTAACCTGTTCTTTTCGCTGCTCAACCGCAGTTGCATCCTCCTCCAATGGCTTCTTAGGCAAATAATAGATCGGAGGCTCTGTCTTAGTTCTGAAAAGAAATATCCCCATAAAATAGAAGTGAGCCAAATATGATAACAAACAAGAACTTCCTAAAACCATGCTACAAGGAAGGAACTTCCATTCATCAAGTTGCTTTAACACTATATGCACATGAGTAGAAACTTATCTTCGTCTGAATAAAATGTGAATATGGACACTTTTGGGCCAAAAATAAAAATAACCTGCAAAGAAGAGGGAGTACAAAATGGTGATCTACGTTGGAGCCAACAATTATCAAAGACAGTTGCGAGCAGAAAAAGAATGGATGCATAAAGTAACTGGCACCAAAAAAAAAAAATCATTGATGGAGATTTCCTACCTTATAAAATTGCAAAGTTTCCTGTGGTGCTCACTCCACTGAAGAAACAGCAATTCCAACTTCTTCTCTTCCGTCTTGGCCGAAACACGTGCTCGCAGAGTCTGACACAACATTGGCAGACGCATTTACATTAACGGTTAGTACAATTAACTTTCTGAAGGGAAAGAAAGCAAAGCGCTCCAGCAGAGAAAAACATGATTTGAAACAAACCAGATCTCTCCTCCGCTTTTCCGCAATCTTTTCCCGCTCTTGCTGCCTAAGTCTTTCACTTTCTTCTCGTGCTCTTTGTTCAGCCTATCAATTGGACAGAGAAAAAAAAAAGGCAAAACACAGTATATTAATAAACTAATAAGCACGAGCGAAGTTTGACCGACGTATATGTCAGTATCACAATCCTAATACATCAGATATTGGTCCCTAACATAGAAAAGAATACCTATGACATGAAAATATAGTTCTAACTCATGGAGACGAAACATTTACAGAGATAACAAGACAAAAATGTATCAATAGACTATACTCAAACATGTATACTTCAAAAAAGCACACAATAACCTACGTTTCTAACTAAGTGATTGTGTGTTTGCACCCATTCAGTGGGTTGCGAAAAATATCAAAGAAATTTAAAGGACAGCCAACCAAAATGCACAATGACTGCTTAATTATGTATACTTATCAAATAAGGAAATGAAGGTGAATTATCACTAGCCCTTACATCTTAGTAACATATTTTCTCTTTTTTTTCTTTTTTTAAGGAAAGATCTAGAGGTGATTCATTAACGAACTTTTGTTTCTTATCAAAAGAAAAAAGGAAAGATCTAGAGGTATGCTGTTCACAATGGAAAGGTAATTGTCAGGGTGTATCCTTAGTATATGGTACAATCATTGGTTGATGAAAAGGAATATCACTTTGTGAGTTTCAAAATTAGTGTCAATAACATCCCTTGGTTGATTTGTCTTACTCACACATTCCATTTTCATATTAGACATTGAGAAGGTTACCCACGAGTTACAAATATCTACTTACTCTTTGTAAAGAATTTGACCTTCGCATGAATGCCTCAGTTCCTGAAAGTTGCATATCTTCTTTCCTGAATTTCTGCACAAGACAAAGAAAAGTATATGAGCCCATAAAATTACACAAATTGTCCAGACAAATCTAGTTGTGGGCAGAAGTTTTGTATGTAAAAACACAAGCACGTACGTTTTGAGTCAAACCAACCATTTAAAAAAAAGCCTCAACATAACATCTGCTGAACTTAATGTTTCAAAAATGATAGAATGACGAAACTCCAAGAATTACTCATTGCTCAATTTCAAATTACATTTGAGCCCACCCAGCATGAAGAAAGACCAATTACCCAGAACATAGGTCATTTTCGAGACAATTGGATAAACATATAAGCTTTTGTCTGCATCAAACCTTAAATGTGATAGGAACCAGAGATAACAAATAAAGAATTGTATTTCATCAAGAAATGTTCTTTTAGAAACTGAAAGAATACAACTCCCCTAGAGGATTTCCTCTCACTCAGTAAAACCCTGACCACCGAAACAACCCAAATTTCCCAACTAGCTCTCTGCACAATGTCCATATAAACAACGAATAACTATATGTGAATAACCGACTTTGCCAACCAACTCCTAATTGCCTATCAGAACCAACCGATAGATTCAACATATCAGCGCAAAACACGGACACACACACACACACAAAGATAGAACAAATAACCACCACCCCATTTATTCCTCCTTGCATACGTATTCTGTATTGGAAGCCTATTGAAATGGAGACTACGCCTAATTTATATCTCCCAATTTTAATCAGATATGGTTTTTAACGAGTCTGGAGGAACCATCTACGTGCACGCATCATTGGGTTTCGCATACTTCGAAGTGCACGTCATTAGACTCATTACTTGGAAGCATCAAGCATGCCAATAATAAACGTATTAGAATAAGCATTGATGCTTTATTGGACAGTAATTAAATACTATCCTAACTACATATAAGTACATTTTATTGTACATAACCAAAGAAATGCCTAGACGAGTAACTGGTAAAAGCTAAGTGCTATGTAAGATGACAAACTCTTTGGATAAATAAAGAACAATCCATTTACCAAGTGAAACGTCCATGGATTAATAGTTAAATTGAAAAGCATTTCCATTGACATCATAAAAAATACAGCAGTTACCTCAAAATGATTAGATGTGCACGGTATGTTATATACTGATCCTCCAATTAAAATTGAAATTTAATTGCTAACAGTGGAATCCTAAGAAGACACAGAATCTCTAGAACAATTGAATAGTTATTTCACAGTTCCTCGTTAACTCCATTCACTAATATTTGTAGCAAATAATAAAATTCCATTCTTCAAAACGTGCAGCCACTATTCACTTTGGTTTCATGTGGGCCTTTTCTGATGACTTCAATACCATCCATCCAATGAAATGTTCAACATATACATAACCATAAAGAGAATAATCATCATTGGGCTATGCATGAATCAACAATTAAATTTAATCACCAGTTAATGTTTTCTAATTTTGAACTACATACAGGAATCAAAACTCTGACAACGAAATAACTTTGTCCAGGTTCTGTGCTGTTAGCCACTGCAGTAACCGATTAATACATACCTCCAAAGTCCCCAGAAGCTGCCCTAGCATTCTTCTGTTCCTATTAACCAAGCTTGGATCTTCATCCTTAGGCAATACCCTTGGAACATGCTCATTGCTCGGGATATCGGAATCCTGATATATCGAAATTAAAATAATAAATTTAGACAAAACCCCAGAAACAAAATCTCCTAAAGAAGACAAGACAAGTGATCTTCACCATCTTCGTAGCTCTTTGATTTTCATCTCTCCTAGACCAACCAGTCTGCTGCAAACTCCTAGGAGTTGCTTCCTTGTCCGAATCGTCCTTATTCACATCATTTGTTTCGTGGGCATCTTCAGTGCTCTCTCCATCTTCCACCTAATTCCAAAATTGCAGTCATTCAATTTCAACTATTCAAAAAGCCAGAATTCTTTTCCCCTTATCAATTGGGTAAACCAGAAAAAAAAAAAAAAAAGAAATCTAAAAATGCTTCTTTCTTCTACCAAGGGAAATCATTTCCATAAAATGGGTTCAGGAGCAGAATGAAAAACCAGAATAAAAGGCTTTTACTTTACCTTAACAACGGCCGATGAAAGTCGCCGTTTCGCGGGTGGCTGATCTTCTGCCTCAGGTCTATCAGCCTGAAATCAACAACCAAGAAAAAGAAAACTCACATGAGAACTTAAAAAACAGTAAGAAAAGAAAAAAAGAAAAAAAAAAAGAGGAAGTATTCTTACGGGTCGAGTGAAACCTCGCTGACGAGCACCATTGGCGGCGAAGTTGCGAGGACCAGCGGCCGGTACTCGTCCCCTGCGAAGCCCCCGAGGGTCTCGAAGCCGTTCGGTAATCTGCAAAATTTCCCGAGAAAATCAGAACGAAAGAGAAAAGAAAAGGGGAGACTGGAAAATCGATGTAGGAAAGCAAAAGACAGAGGTCGAGAGATGAGAATCAGACCTCGCGTTGCTGGCGTTGGAGTTCATCGATCTCTTTGCGGATCTCGTCTTCCGTCTTCTCTGCGAAAGTGCTTCCCATGACTATATGACTATGAGAGGCGCGTCGGAATAAAGAAGAAGAGAAGCGGCAACAATAGCAGAGCGTGCGCGGTGCGCCAAAACCCTCGAAACTTACTTGTGGATTTGGATTATCGCTTGTTTTTTTCCCTAATTCTCGTCACACCCCTCTAGCAACCTAAGTAGACTTTGGAAAATTTAGGGGAAAAAAACCTCTTAATTTTATTGCCTTCTAAAAAAATAAATAAATATGGTAGGGATTTAAACCAGAAGGTCCCATTTGATTCTTGTAGAATCCTGATTTTGCTATAATATTTTTTATCTCATAAAAAATTTAAATTTTAAATTTTTTTTTCTTAAATAAAGGCCTCGTTCATTTCACTGATTTGAATTTTCAGTTTTAAGTTTCTACAGTAAAAAACACTCAAAAAATGTCACATCTAACTTTTTTTACTATAGTGAAAAGCTCTAAAAAAATGCCACATCTCAACTCGAATTAAAAATTTAAATCTGTGAAGTGAACGAGACTTAATGAATAAGTACTGATTTAAACGCATGAATTAAACGTCTCGAAAAGATTTTTAGCACATTTGTAATCTCACTCTTACCGTAGGTTGCGCTCTTGTACGTTTGCTACGGGTTCAAACAAGAAAATAAGTAGAAAATTATTTTCAAAAAGTAAAAGAAATTGATTCATGCATTGGTATTTTTACAAAATGTTTTATGTGAGAAAAATGTTGTGCTTATTGAGCACCGCCTAATGTTTTTAAGTTCCACTTGCATATAAGGGTAAAGAGAAGGGTAAGTGGATGGAACTAGACGATGTGTGACGGGCGAGGTCGTGGAAGATTGGATATTACGCGCATGTTTATCTTCCGTTGAAGAAATGTGATGTTTAGTTCATAGATTCAAACCATGTGATTAGAATTATTTTTGATTTAAGTGTATTTTTTATGAGAGAAAATATTATAGCGAATCACGAATTATGATTCGAATCAGGGAACAAATCTAGGTATCAAACGGACTCTCGAATTTATTTAAGAGTTGATTTTATAATTTATACGTTACTATCATGTTTTATGGATTTCTATGATTTTGATTGAGTGCTGGATTTCTCTTTCTTTTGAGATTATATAATTTTAAACAAGTTTAATTATGCTTACGATTTTTTGGTGAAGAATATGTTTAGAAAAAAATTGATATATTTCGTGAAGTTTTATGAATAACTGTAAATGTCTTTTAGGGGATCGTTATAGATATGGTATCAGAGAAGTTTCCTTTATCCCATCTATACTGCACTTCTGATTCGGTTTCATCCACAAGTAAGTAAGAAATCTTGCCCTATTTTAGATTTATAAGAAAGGTTAAATGCATGTCATGAAATTATTTGCGAGAATCCTAAACTTATCCTGTATATGAAAAATCCTTACAGTTGACATTCGTGCTCAACTGATAGTCTAAGGCAAGATGGCGTTAGGAATAGTGTCTTTAAAGCATGAGGTGTAAACATATATTTATTATTTAATTAATAAAATAGTTTTTTCATTGCCTTATGTGCATGTATTATTAAATATTTTATGAATATCATTAAAAATTCATCGATTACTTATGTAACCTTAAATAATGTATATAAAAAGTTATATACAAGAGGCTAATATGTAAGGATAATAATCAAAACAGGTTGATCAAACTAGTTCTTCTTATGTTGAATCTTCTTTCGCGCACTATGCAACATTTTTATGGTGATGGCCCATTATAACTTGATGATATAAAAGAAGGGCATTTTTTTTAGCAAGGCGAATGTCCAGAAAGTTTGCAACTACTAGCCATCAAGAAGATTTTTGAATACAAAACTACTAAATGCTATGGTGAGGGGCTTACTATTGCGTGTAAGGTTGATGGTATCAAATGGCATGTCGGCCTTAAGGTTTTGTCATACCGAGGTGTGGGTTATTAGGCAATATGTGAAAGATTATCGCTATGTTTGAAAGTTGGTTTTGTTTTTGTTTTTCATGTTTTTTGAGAAAAATAAAATAAAAACGGGAGAAAAAAGACGTTTGGCATAAATAAAGACAAAAAATAAAAATGAAAATAATTTTTTAATTTAGTGAAAAATATGAGAAAAATGAAAAATAACTTTTAGTCGTTTTTCATTTTGTGTTTCCATTTTCTCCTCTCTCGAGCACAAAGAGAGAGAGAGAGACATTAATAGATTTTTTTATACTGAAAATAATCTCTTGATAAAACTACTAAACGCATTTTCAAAAATAATTTATGTCTGAGATTGAAAATATTTTTATTTTTATTTTTATATAAAAACTTGTCCATTAGTTGTTGTGCGGGGAGATCACAGTCAAGCTACCAGTATTATTGTTAATGAGTGTGGGTGTGTGAGGGAAAAATGCAAGGAGAGTGGAGAAGAACATATTAGCCCCAATACTATTATGAACTATATGCGTAGCAAACACAGACTTATTTTAAATTATGAAGAGTTAAGGGAAATCGAGAGGACTTGCAAGATTCTTTGCGTAGACAACTTCAAATGGGCTGCAATCAATAGTTTGGCTTCTGGAACGATTGTAAGCGAATTCAACATGGGATAACAACAAGTACCTGTAACAGTTGGTTAAATTACTTGAGATTAATTAATTTAATTCGGTTGTTAGTGTTAATTAATTTAAAAATTAACAATTTATTTTCAGTTATGATTATTTCTTTATGAATTTTTCGCATTTTAAAAAATAAATATTTTTAAATTGACGTTTCAGTCTCTCGATCAATTTTACGTGTCAGTAACTAATTCTCCGGAACATAAAACAATTGGGCCATTTTATATTCTTATGGGAAATAGTAGAAAAGAGGCCAATATAAAAAGCTTAAGAAAGTATATAGGCTAATTTTTAGTTATAGAAATTAATAACCTATAACTTTTCAAGTTATGGTTCATAATCAGATAAGTTATGAATAAACTTGTCAAGTTATGGTTCATAGTCAGACAAGTTATGGACAATTATGGATAATAACTTGTCAAGTTATGATTCATAACCAGACTATGGACGAAAACAGTAATTTGGCCTATTTATTAACTTATGTAAACTATTGACCTATTAATTTTAATTCATCTCAAGTCTTGGCCTATTTCCCTCTTTCTCCCTATTCTTATTTGAGTTGAACTTTAAAGTCTAAGGCCTCGTTCATTTCGCCGATTCAAGTTTTACTACAGTAAAAAGCTCTCAGAAACAGTCACATCTAGCTTTTTTACTACAGTAAAAAACTCTCACATTAAGTCACATCTCAACTTGAATTAAAAACTTGAATCAACGAACTAAACGGGTCCTTATTGTCTAATTTTCACAAAAAAAGCCTAAGTCTGTTTTCCTTTTCTTTTTCTTTCTTTCCTTCCTTCACTCTCTCTTTTTCATGTTATCTCCCTCTTTTTCCCTCTCACTCTCTCACGTGATCTCCTTCTTTCCTTCTCTCTCTATCTCATTATCTATCACTCCCTCTGTCTCTTGGTTCTCTCTCTCCTCCATGAGAGATGCAATCCAAGCTTCTAAGTATGAGGGCTTTTGCTCCAATTTTTATGGGCAGCTCATTTTTAAAGTCAATTTGAAGATTGGAGATGGATTTTTTTTTTGAGATTCTAAGAAGATTAAGGTAGGGTTCTATTAGAGGTATAAGTTTAGACCGCTCGCCTGGACCCTGCCAAGACCCTGCGCACAAAGGGAAATTTTTGGCATGGTCGGGCCAGCCCTAAAAAGATATAATCGGCCCAGCCTAGTCCTAAGCCCAACAAATTTAGGACTGACCCGGAATTGTATAAGGTATTTTTTTTAAAAAAAACTATAGAAATATTATTTTTGGGCCAGGCTGGGAAGGTCGGCCCAACCCAGCCCTAAGCCCAAAAAATTTAGGGTCAGACCGGGCCGGGCCCAGGCCAACAGTGACAGGCCTCGGGCTAAACCGTTTATCTCGGCCCAAACTTACAGCTCTAAGTTCTATGTTCCAATTTCTAAAAATCGGTTGTATGCCTTCAAATCCAGGCTCTAAACTCTTTGTTAATGTTTCCTTCTTGTTTAGCTTTTGGATTGGGAGAATTGCATGTGAAATTCAAGAGCAAGAGATAGGGTTTGTTTTGAGTTTTCAATCTTTTTAAAATTCTTAACTTTTCATTTTTCTTTGACATTATTTTCTGATTTTGTATAATGAATGATTTCAAAGTTTGTCAAAAATCTCGTATTTTGCTATTGTTTGATGAATCCTCTATCTTCCTAGTTATGTTTCTTGAGATTTGACGATTTCTAATATTATATTAAAGTTGGGGTATGAATTTTGTCTTGCATGCCATTAAATGCAGATTTTCTTAAGAATTTGATATTTTATTTCAATGTTTCAGATTTAGAAAATGTGTTAAAAACCCCTTTGATGATGTACATTCATCATTTGGAGACTTAATAGATTTTTTTTGAAATATGACACGTTTACATTGCTCGTTGTACATTCATGATCAGTTTACAGATTATTGAACTTAGCACGTTCATGTCTTATGATTTGATTTTTTTTATGCATGAGATTGCATTTCTCTTCCTTTTTGAACTTATTTCGTAAATTTTCACTTCTCGGTTTAAAACTCGATTTTACTCCGACTTTGAGTATTCAAAAGGATCTTCATTTATAAATGTACATAACTATATATAGAGATTATATATTTTAAAAACCTTCCCAAAAACTTAAATTTGCGAGTCATGGTTTTCGGAAGAGAATTTTAGAAAAAAATGAATTTAGTATCGCATTAAGATTATTGGAGCACGAGATAAATGAGTTTTCAAATGCTATCTAATGAGCATTTTAGATAGTTGATTTTGGCATAATGGGCATAGAGATCGGGATATGGAGATCGTATCTGTGGAGCCAGGTCCCGAAACCCGTACAGGCCACTTCGTAGCGTGGGTGGTGAAGCTTTGCACTAAACTACATATCGGTACTTTGAAAAGAGTATTCAAACTATCGGCGTATGATTTTTATCTTTCACTTATTTACGATATTATTTGAATACCCAAGTGTCTAATAGAATTATAAAATACATAGTATTTTGTAGACTATTCAGATACCACATTCTATAACTTTTGAAATGGATTTAAAAATAATATAGTATCTTGAAAGAGTTTTCAATGCTTGATTCGCTACTTGACTC